GGAAGGAGTGCAGAGGGATGGAGGAGATGGATAGAGGGGTGTGTAGGGATGGAGGAGAGGGATGGTGGTGTGGGGGAAATGGCTGGATGGATGGATAGTGGGGTGGGGGGATGGATGGATGGAAGGAGTGCAGAGGGATGGAGGAGATGGATAGAGGGGTGTGTAGGGATGGAGGAGAGGGATGGTGGTGTGGGGGAAATGGATGGATGGATGGATAGTGGGGTGGGGGGATGGATGGATGGAGGGAGTGCAGAGGGATGGAGGAGATGGATAGAGGGGTGTGTAGGGATGGAGGAGAGGGATGGTGGGATGGGGGAAATGGCTGGATGGCTGGATAGTGGGGTGGGGGATGGATGGATGGAGGGAGTGCAGAGGGATGGAGGAGATGGATAGAGGGGTGTGTAGGGATGGAGGAGAGGGATGGTGGTGTGGGGGAAATGGCTGGATGGCTGGAGGCGTCCCTCTGGCTCACAACCATCTCCCCCCCACCAGAGCTGTGTGCTTTGCTGTTGTTACTGCTGGGACTCGCTGCACTAACTCGCCCCTCCCCACTGCACCCCATCTGCGACACCCGTGTCATGGAGAAATTCATCAAGGAGGCCAGAGACACTGAGAACGCCGTGGTACGTCCCCAACCGCGCCAGCCCCTACCTCCGCGTGAGGGGTCCCCGGGTAACCAGCTGCCGTGCCCCAGAGGTGGCTGCATCTCAGCGCCGGGCGAGGGGTCCCCGGGTAACCAGCTGCCGCGCCCCAGAGGTGGCTGCATCTCAGCGCCGGGCGAGGGGTCCCCGGGTAACCAGCTGCCGCGCCCCAGAGGTGGCTGCATCTCAGCGCCGGGCGAGGGGTCCCTGGGTAACTGGCTGCCCCGCGCCAGAGGTGGGCGCATCTCAGTACCGGGCGAGGGGTCCCTGGGTAACCAACCGCCCCGCGCCGGAGGTGGGCGCATCTCAGCGCCGGGCGAGGGGTCCCTGGGTAACCGGCCGCCCCGCCCCAGAGGTGGCTGCGTCTCAGCGCCAGGTAAGGGGTCCCTGTGTAACCAGCCGCCCCGCCCCAGAGGTGGGGCATCTCAGCGCCGGGTGAGGGGTCCCCAGAGAACCAGCTCCAGGGTGATTTGGTCTCTTTACAGGAAGGTTGTACAAATTCTTGCAACTTATCAGAAGTTCTCACGGTGCCCGACACGAAGGTTAATTTTAACGAGTGGAAGAAAATGGACGTGAGTCTGAACGGGGCCTGGGGGAGGTCTGACCCAGGAGGTGGCTGTGGGGGAGGGTCCAGGGGTCTGACCTGGGGGGGACCTAGTTTTGAGGGACCAGGGGACTGACCTGGGGGTGCTGGGCTGGTGGAGCCCGGGGGTCTGACCCTGCCCTCCCTCCCCAGAGGCAGACGCAGGCGGCGGAGGTGTGGCGGGGGCAGGCCCTCCTCTCGGCCGCGGTGCTCCGGGCCCGGGACCTGGTCCCCGACCCCTCCCTGAACCAGCAGCTCGGGCGCACCTACAGCAACCTGCGCAGCGTCACCCAGATCCTGCGCAGCCACAACGCCCAGGTGAGGGGCACCGGGGGCAGGGATGGGACAAGGGAGGGGAGGACACAATGACGGATGGATGCTGTGGGTGATGGAGAGATGGACGGATGGACAGATGGATGGATGGATTCGTTGGGTGGGACGGACAGATGGATGGACGGATAGGCAGATGGATGGATGGATGGATGGATAGTTGTGTACAGGGTTGGATGGACGGACAGATGGATGGATGGATTCGTTGGGTGGGACGGACAGATGGATGGACGGA